GATTGATTTTAAAGTACTTTTACTCGTTTATAAATCACTCAATGGCCTAGGACCTAAATACATGGCAGATATGCTCAATGAATATAAACCTAACAGACCACTCAGATCATTAGGATCGAGTCAGTTAGAAATACCAAGGATTCACACAAAACAAGGGGAGTCCGCTTTTAGCTATTATGCCACCCGCAGTTGGAATCAGCTTCCAGAAGTGATCAGATGTGCTAAAACATTAGTCACATTTAAATCTAGACTCAAAACTCATCTATTTAGCTGTGCATTTATTGAATGAGCACTGTGCGATGTCCGAACTGATTGCACTGTATTTTATGTATGTATGTATCATTTTCTATTTTCTTAAATACATTTTAAATCAATTTTAATTGTAAATCATCTTCAAAGTTTTTAAATTCCTTGTTTTATTTTTGTGATCATTATTTTTTTATGATTATTTTCCTTTTTTTTATGTAAAGCACTTTGAATTACCATTGTGTACGAAATGTGCTATATAAATAAACTTGCCTTGTCCTTCAGTTATTTGACAGAGCTGTTAAACTGAATAAACTAAGAATGAGCACTCTTGGCTGCAAAACACTGTTAAAATAAAAGTCTTGCTTATAAAACTTATCAGCCAAACGGAAAAACTGGTTACCAGTTGATTAATGTCATTCATTTGTCATTCCTCATCTGATCTCATCTGCAGTCCTGCACATACTGTAACCTTAATTTCTCTCTCTTCTCTTAACAGGATGACTGGCCGAGAGTTTTTCACTCGTTTTCCTGCCCTCTATCCCTTCCTCCTCCGTCAGCTACAGGAAGCTCCAGCCTCTGTGAACAGGTGAGAATTTCCCAACAAAAGGCCCCCTATAATATTACAGGACCCCGCAATGTGTGTGCGATTTGCGTCGGATGTTGTTAAAGAGCTGAACGATCCCAGCGTTCGCTAAACAGACCCAGTTCTTCTTCTCACCCTTCTTTAATTTCTCCGAGGCCCTTATTTAAGATCGTTTAAGTGCCCCATCAAGCCTCTTTAGACCTATTAAGCCTTTCGACCAAACTGATGGACAGATTCCTAGCTGAGATTCCTCAGATAAGTAAACCGCGTGTGGGAGTTACGGCCATGTTGGATCCAGACCGCGCTCTTCAGCGACTGTGAGAACATGTTCGTCTCTTATCTCCCTCATTTAATTTCTCCACAGACTGATGCACCGCTCTTCCAAATAGCACTTACATTGTGCAAGAGGCCCTTGAGCCAATATTATCTTAACATGTATCAAATTATTTTAATGCATTTACAGTCTGGCGTTCTCTCCTTTTAGCTAAGAGTGGTCTGACTCTTTCCCACGGCCTAGTCTTTGCGTCCCGTTTGCCAAGCCAGACTCTGCAAAGCTTGTATTTTATGCCTCCTATAAATGATTTCACATATAAATAAGGGTAGAGAGAAGTGTGAAGCGGTTTAAAAGTCATCAGTGTCCTTGTGTCACCCACCAAATATGAAAGGAGCATCATGGGATGTCTGGGGGGGGGGGGGTTTA